GCCACACTTGCCATCACACTGAAGCATAACCAGTTATGCTGATGAGGTCATTAACTAAGCTAATGAATGCATTACTTAGCATATGTTGGCGCACTTGTTTTCAAACAACACACGGCAGCATCAATATTAACTGCATATCTTAAAGCGTGAAGGCATGAAGGAACCGCAGCACATTTATTCTCATTAATATCCAAATGTATGCAGCAAGTAGCTGAAAAATCGAAGCCAATTATCTGCCCGATGGGGCCGGCTGTGGTGCAGGGATCAACGTTATTCCGCGTGCTGTTTGTGTCCGTGTTTAAATCAATGCGCCACTCGCGCGTCTACATGTAGGCACACTTGACGGCACTGTGACTACACAGTGTTATCAGTGTGTAATGCTGGGTAACTTGCTGGGTTCCTTCATTTTATTATTCATTACCATTAAACATTAGGAAGCAAAATGCTTTTTTTTTTCCAGTTTGGATGCTGTTTTTTTATTATTTCATTTAAGGCTGATTCAAAATAGAGATAAAGAAAAAGGAATTATACATTCTCTCCAGCATACAGGCAGATGTCTTTTAATAGTACAGTGTCTCACGGTTTAGCGAGGACTCGTGTACTGGGGAAATTGCCATATGGGTTAAGTACACTGGTTACACTCATTGCAGATTAATGTGCTTTAGAATTGCGGCTATTTCTGGTCTCGCTGTTTAGTCATGCATACATTTTTAGATGTTTGATCCATGGAGTTACCAGCTTGGCCAGTTATTTTCACATCACTGGCACATCATGTGTCACTACCATCCTTGACATCCTGAGGGTTAAGAGGAGCTTTGTTCATGCAATGTGGGCGCCACAGCGTTGTCACTTTCCAGGCCGGCTGGGAAGAGCATATGACCGGCACACAGATGGGCCAGTGGCTGCCGGAAACCTTTCCTTTGCTTGAAATGTCTCAGGCTGGGACCAGATGATTCGGCATGGCATGACAAGTGAATAACAGCGCAGGGGACAGCTGTGATGTTGTGCCCTGAGGCCTGCTGGGATCTGAAGAGTCTTCACTTGAGAACTGATTGAACCTAGCTTGCCATTTCACAAGCATTGTTTGCTGTGCCGCTGCCCACGATGCAGTGGCTGCAGATGTTTAATTATTTGAAAAAAGAAAGAAAAAAGAAAAGAAATGAAAGAAATGGAGAAAATAACACAACAATGAAGCAGACACTGCTTGGAGCCGAACAGTCAGAAAGCAACACTTTTGTGTTCCACGTCAGCCAATTAGTGACAAACACGATTCTACATGACTGTTAGAGACCTAGACTACGAAATATCTGCTGGTAGAGTTGCCATTTTTATTGCCGGATGCTTTTGCCAACCTTGGCAATATCAGGTTCTTTTTGTGTGCCCGTTGTCATTATTATTTTAAATCCCAGAGTGGAGAGAAAAAAATACAGCCTCATATCGTAAACAACTTTTCTGGCCGTGTTGCATCGACCACTTTAGTGTAGCTTGTCAAAGTTTGGTTTGAGATGCATGGACTTTGAGTTTTTGCACTAGTGTTCAATATTCTCCTGCAGTGAAAAATTCCGCTGCAGAAAACCCCCAAAATATCAATTTTGCCACAGGCAGCAGACTCTGAATGAGATGTACCCACAAGACACTTGACTTAGGGCTGTTACTCCCCTTTTTACCTGCCAGGACAAGCTCCCTTTCTCAGTGTAACTGCTGCTACAGCACCTCTATGGGTACCAACAGGATAACCAACAGCTACACTAGAAATCAAGGCAGCTCTGTTTGATATAAAAACTTCTTTTTGAAATAATACCAGCAAATAGATTCTAAACGTCATAGTGTTTAAATGTTAGAGATCTCATATTGCCTGGAATTTGAAATTGTGATTGTGTGAACAAGATATTGTAAAATAAATACGTAAATAAATAAAGACTCTCTTTTCTAAACTCTAACGGGTGGCTTGATGCACCCAATCTGTGCCAAAGAACTGGGTTGGATTACCTCAGGATAATTGCAGTGAGATTACAATCAAAGTTTTAATTAGACTGCAGCTACAGTTGGTTTACTCCTGCCTGGGTGTCGATTTACGATCTGTTAATTAAGAATTAGCGCATTAGCCTTCCCTGTTTCGCTCTCCCTCTCGGAAGCACACGCTTTTATCTTGCATCTTAGCGAAGGTTTTAGTTCTGTTTCTCACACCAAAACTGTTTGAACACCCCACATTAACCCACAGAGAGAGCTGTGATTTTATCTACACCTACGTGGATGTGTACTCAAATCCACGATTAGTTACAAAGAAGAAACACAACCTTGTTATGCTTTTCAAAGGTATTTTTAATAATCTTGAACAGGTATTTTTACATGATCTATACAGTAATTATATCAGCAGTGTAATGTAATAACTTTACATGCAACTTTTTTCAAGTCTAAGTCTCAAAGTCAAAGTCACAACGCCATAAAACCTGAATAAACCCTCTAAATTTTGGAATCAGATAAAATTACTGTCATGTTCCCAGTTCTGCTCCAGTCCTGCCTGACTATATATTAATTAACTGAGTTGAGATTAAGAGTAAAGCTGATATTGTTGGACATTTTAATGAACAGCGAGTTCTGTTTTTAATACAAATGTGACAAAGTGTTCTGTTTTTAATGTCATCTGGCCTTTTCAAAGAACCTTTTTTCTTTAGACCTGTTTTGACTGTGGTGACTTGCAAAGCTTTGAAACCACTGATCTAAAAAGGGTTATCTAGACCTGACAGTCTAAATACTTATCTTTTCAAGCATGCAGCTGATTTTATTATTGAGCCTGTTACAGCTGTTTTTAATCTGAGTCCCTAGAATAACATGATCCCTAATACCTGGAAAGCAGCCCGTGTTTGCCCCTTATTAAAATTTGGGGAGCCTCGCTGATTTAAACAATTATCCCCCTGCATCCACACTTTCAATGTGGATCCAACTCTCAGTTGAAAGAGTGCTTGGTTGACAATAAGACTGTAGGTGAAACCCAGTCTGGCTTTAGACTAGGTCATAGTACCGTAACAACAAATAGGTCGGTGACAAATTATATTAATATCATTAATTCCTTGGACAGGAAGCATCTGTGCCGCCTCGGTTGCTAATCCATCAAAGGCATTTGATTCTGTAGACCAAGCTGTTGTTAGGCTCAGTGATGTTGCTTTCAGTGACGAGGCTATTGCATGGCTCAGGAGCTACTTGAACCAGCTATCTGTATTAACACTATGTTTATACAGATGGATACATGTCAACATTTCAAAAGGAATCCCCTAAAGTTCAGTTTTAGTTTGTTTTGATAATGGCTCTGTTTAATTTTCTGTTTTTTATTAATAACGTTGGGAAGCTAAAGTGGAAATTTATGCAGGTGACACAATACTTTACTCCGCTGGCTTCAGTCTGGATCAGATGGTAAACGGACTGATTCTTATATAGCGCTTTTCTACTCTCTTGGAGTACTCAAAGCGCTCTATACAATATGTCACATTCACCCAATCACACAAGCACTTTCTTCTAAACTACATTCATACTCCGATGGATGAATCGGAGAGCAACGTGGGGTTAATATCTTGATAGTACCCTTCAGAACAAGGATAAAGCAAGGATACTTGACATCCAGGAGTCAGGAAACCACTAACCTTCCGATCAGTAGGTGATCTGTTCTACCTCATGAGCTACAGCCACCCACAGTTATCATTGCATCATTGCATAATGCTGCTTTCCAGAAAGCATATCCAGATCTCTTACAAAATGTTTGTTTTTATTTGCTAGGCATAGACTTTATTGAAAGAGTATCAACCAACAAATTTTTAAGTATTTATGCACCTAGTAAGAGAGCACCTAGTGCATTCTTAAATTCTCTTCATTATGCTCACCTTTACCTTTCACATATTTACATACATGCTGCCTTCTCTGCACTTTACATTTCATAATAATATCATTTTATAATCTGGTTTCTTGTCCCTCATTAAGCTGTGCTGTTGTAAGGAGACAACAGCACTGGTATATTTGTACACCCTTTCTTATCTGTGTAAACTCCTGAAACAGCAGCTACTAATTTGCACTCCTCTGTAGGATTTCTTCTGAACTTGGTAGTGCAGACTTCTCTTTTTTTGAATGGAGAGTTCAGAGCTATTATAAAGTCTTCTGCGTTTGAAGAGTGCGAGTGTTATTCATAAGCTGGACTCTATGTATTTATTCATTCTATTTTTATATTATGTTCATGTTGTGTTAACTTTGACCTGCTTTATTTCCTCTTATGTGTACTGAGTTATAATTCATTTATAATTTGTAATTTTGCAATGGTGCACCATCTTGGACAGGCCCCCCTTGCAAAAGAGAGAATAATGTTGAGGGATTTCCCAGTTAAATAAAGGCTAAATAAAATAAATAACAGTGGTTGAATTAATGTGGATCGTTTTATAAATTACAAAAGGACTAAAGACTCCTAACTGAAACCCAAATCAGAAGAAAGATTTTCATCTCATCTATTAAATACTTCTAACAAGCTCTGGTTTGTAGCTTGTTCACTTGTTTGATTAGTAAGGCTTAAGGCTTGAAATTTCTCAAGAAATTTGACTTTGAAAAACGTATCAATTTAAGACATGTAATGCTTATGCTCAACAGTAGGGGGAGGTAGCGTTCTCATGAGGGTGGTCTGTTGGGTACACGAAGAAAAATGAGACCAAGAATTAGAAAGTATAGAGCAGTTCTCTGTATAGAATGAAAGAAAATCACCTTTTGTCGGTTTTAAAGACATCACGTAGAAAATATTTTCTAATTTTCGTTTCTTATGCTGTTTTTTTCTCGTGCTTGTTTTGCATAGGTGGAATCAGAGACCACCCAGTTACAGTCAAATGTATAAATTTATTGTTTATTACATATATATTCAGAAAAGTCGAATTGCGCTATAAATACATTGCTTTTCTCATAACTGCCAAAAAAGCATTGATAATATGAAACATCAAATCATACGCGTAGGGAAAACCGTCTGTAGTAGGACTAAGTACATCAGGAGCTGCTTTCTGTCTATCCGGTGCGATTCTATCTGAGTGGACATTTTTATTGTTTTGATTAGGAAAATATTCTGGGCAGCTCCAGCTAGAGGGTGCGTTATCTAAGGTTAGTTTCCACACAGTGGCTTCCGTTATATCCATATAAAATATTTAGATTCCTGATGTATCAAATCACATGTCAAGGTTAAATGAAAACAAAGGCTTTCGATGTCCCATCTTCATGCTAATTGATTGCTAACGCTAGCTAGGAGCACACTTCGCAATCAGCTAAGAAGTTTAATGTATTAGTGTTAGCTTGTTACTTTTGATAATTATCATTTGAATATGTCTCCCTTTTTTTTAGTCGATTGATTGCCATTCAGCTGACACACAGCCCAAGAGTGCAGTTTGCCTGTCGCAGCTGTTAGCTTTGCCTAGTAAGTGTATGTTAGCATCATGTAGCAGCCAGTATAGTTCGCTGTTCCTGCTGGCCAAATGGATTATTGTTTATTCATTTAATTTTAGCGATACATCAGTATAATAGCCCACATAAACATCTAGCTACAGTAAGTTAAATGTAAGTCTAATCACTATCTGGCCTAGCGTGTTACTGTTTAAACATACTGCTTCAGGGGATAGGCCGCTAATGGCTAAACGCTAATGGTTGATTATCACACAGAGAAGATCCCACATACACATATATAAACGTCGTTACGACTGACAGAGAGCTCCTAAACCTAACAGCTTCCTGTGGTGTGTAATAATTTATAGCTGCTGCTGTGTAAAATATAGGAACATCGGTTGGCCTAGGTACCTCCTTGTATCAAGGTAAAGCTGTATACTATAATAAAGGACAAAGCGCACTCTGGTATATGCCTTGTGGTGATCACATGCTGCTTGAATATGCCACCGTGTAAAAGGTGAAACTATTAAACATCATATTTTATCTCACAGATTGTGATAGTGGACCATTTTATCTGGAGAAAAGAGCTTTGATTCATGCATCATGTGCTAAGGTCCAGCAGAGGGCACTGTGGCATAGCCTTTTTCTGCTACACAGAGCATCGTTTAGTCTTTTCTGTGCTCTTTTTTTCTTCTTTGTGAGATTTTTTTTTTAGTCAAACCCGGCGTCTTACAACCTAACCCAGAACTCCTAAAGTAAAATCAAATAAGCTTCCTTGGATGACAGACAGGGGATAAGTTTGCAGAATGACTGGATTTTATTATCACTTTTTCAGGGTCTTAAAAAAAGTCTAAGAAAGAAAACCCTGGCTTACCCTTCTCTTCTGGGGGGGGGGGGGCTTTCCATAAGAGCTTTTTGAGGTAGACTGACTAATTCCTCTGTGACTTTTCCCACAGTATTTAATGGCAGAGGGCAGAAACCACATCCAGGCTAAAGAGGTGTATTTCCCATTTCAAAGGAGAGGTCAAAGGTTAAAATGCACAGTGTTGCTCCTATATTTAGAGCTCAACCTGGGCTGCAGCTGCCTGAATCAGCACAGGTTTTAATTCCGTGCTATCGCCATTCATTTGGTGTTTTTTTGCACCGATGCTTTGTAGTGTTTTCAAGTGGGTTAGAGGCTCCCAAAATATGGCGATTCCAAGTTAATCTCATTTTTTAAGCACTGATATTCAGTGAGTGAGTGCGGTTTTATTGAGAGAGTGTTTTAGCACGTTGAGTGGTGTTCTCTTATCTCCAAGTTTAAGGCAATACTGCCACACTGCTGCTGTTAAAAATAGGCTGCGTTAGTGCTTGAGAAGTGAATGTGTTGTGTTTTTCTTTTTTCATTTACTTGCTCAATTGTGATTGATAGCAGCAAGACATTTCTATTAGAGGAAATGTGGCTGGCCAAGAGACTGTTTTGCAGCCAAACCTGGGTGGAGTTTGGACAAGAAGCCGATCAGTCTCAAAATGCTTAACCCACCTTTGGGCAGCAATCTATGGCCTAGTTTTTCACCTGATCTTTAGGTTAACTAAACATTGGCCTTTTGAGATCGTATATTCATTTTTTAAAATAGTTTATTGGCTGTGTCTGCTGTGAAATGTTTTTTGTTCTAGCATCTAGTGTTTTCCTCCAGATCTAATCTTCCATTGTAAGAGTCATGGATGAGCAGACAGGCTCACCTGGAGCCAATGCTGACAACAACAGCCAGAGAAACGGAGATGAGGTAAGAGGTGAACACACAGATATCGAATGACACGTTTAAAAAAATACATATATAAATTAATAAAAAATTCCAGTTCACACTAAAAGAAAGTCTTGCCAGTACACATCAGGGTAGAACCCCTACGTGAACCTTTAAAACATGTTTGTTTTTGTTTTCTGGCAGAAACCCCGACGTGGCAGCTGGACCAAGGGGAGGAAGAGGAAGAAGCCAATGAAGGACAGCAACGCTCCCAAGGCCCCCCTGACGGGCTACGTTCGCTTCATGAACGACAGACGGGAGCAGCTACGGGCAGAGCGTCCAGACGTGCCCTTTCCAGAGATTACAAGGATGCTGGGCAACGAGTGGAGCAAGCTGCCCCCCGAGGAGAAGCAGGTCAGCAGAGAAGTTTGAGACAGGATTACACAGTGAGCCCACAGTGGTGGAGAGACATGTGTCAAAACATTTCTGTTTGCATTTCTTTCCCAGTTGTATGCGAGTCTGTTTTAAGATTACCTGCAAAAGGATTTAAAAACAAATCTCTATGTTTTCACTCATGTCCAACTATGGAGTGCAGCTTTTGAGAAAGCAGTGGAAGAACATGAAGAGAACAAAAGCAAGCAATATTCATCTGGAACATGCCAACACAGAGTAATTTTTCACTTTGCACAAAAACGACTTAGGGAAAAAGTTCCCTTAGAATCCATAGCAACCGTGTGTTTGCAGCTGACAAAAAAACTCTGACGGCCTCTAACAGATTGTATTGTCGAAGCTTGATGCCCTCAGATGCAATACAAGAACAGCAGAAACGAGCATCGTCTTATGATTGAAGCATTTGGAGTTTTGTTCTAACAGATAAATTTTTTTATTCCAGTCCCAAACTATAGATGGACCACTGAGCTTAAGATGCACATTTAAAGATCCGGCAGAACCGTAATCATTTTGGAGTCCCTTTAGCTCTCATGAACAGCTCACAAATGCTAGCAAAAGAGAAGAAAAATCCTCATTCTTAATCAAGTATTTATACTATTCAGTGTGGGAGTTTTTCTTCTTGCTATTTTTACAGAGAATATTTGAAATGTCTGGACATGTTTTGTTTTCCAAAGTTGGGAAAGAGCATGTGCAACTTTGCTGCCGATGTGTTTCACACAGAGTCGAAAGCTCAGACTGATTAGGCGGTACGCTAGGACGAGACCTCTGAATGGAGATGGTTTAATAAGCTTTTCTACTAATTATATTACAAGATGCTTTTTCTCCCTTCTGTGAATTGAGCGATTGTAGGTTATTAATATTGGAAAATTGCAGTTTTTTTTTTTAGTTTGTTGAAAAGAATTCATACTGATTAGGAATAATTACTCCCACTCATCTCACAATCTAACCCACAATCATCCTCCATCATATTTTGCACAAATCTTATTTCCAGCCTTTGCATCTAAGTCTCCCCAGCTTTTCTCACCTTTGTTTCTCGTCTCTGCAGCGATACTTGGACGAGGCAGAGCGCGATAAGGAGCGCTACATGCGAGAGCTGGAGAAGTACCAGAAGACGGAGGCCTACAAACATTTCACCAGGAAGGTCCAGGAGAAGCAGAAGGGCAAGAGGCACAGGGGAGGTGAGATCTGGTCAGAAAACAGCAGGGTGGCTGGTTGGCATCGAATGCTGAAAATCAAAAGTTTGGCTCGTGGCCCACCATCCATTAGGGTCTGCTGTTTGAAAGCTTTTGGCAAGTGAGTTACTTCCTTTGTCTGATGATATTTGGATAATCCAGCCTTTCTTTGCTGCGCAAATCCCTTCCAGACAGGATGACTCACATAAACGTGTATCTAATGAAAATCATACCGTACAGTGAGCAGTCAGTGTGTTCTTGTGGTTCTTGTTTGTCTTTTCAAATCATTATCACACAAAATGGAAGTTTGAAAATGTTGAGTTTTGAAGGAGTCCTCGAACAGAGAACCAAATGATCATTTAGAGCTTTTCTTTGTAAAATCATATCTCATTAGAGTCGATATATATTTTTTGACCAATATAGGATTTATAAGACTGATATCAATACTGATTTTTGGCTGATATTTTTTCTTTTTTCCACACACATACAGAGGAAAATAAAAAGATTTCAGTAACACTCCCTAGCCAAAATACGCAACATTAACACTCGTAACATGCTCCAAGTGTGTTTTTCCCATCTCCTTTTTAAAATTTTAAATGTATTATATTTATTGGACGTTAAAAATACAAATGCAGATATACCAGTAAATGGCTAATATCAGTCGGACACTAATTCTCATTAATACTTTTGTGATTTTCTGCTTAAATGAATAAAAATATTAATAAGGCATACACATTAAGTCGATTGTGACAAAACAAAACTATCAAATCTTTTCTGATTAACAGAGACCCCTAACATATTTCTGCTTACAGTTTAGTAATTGAACATATTTCAGTATTTAGTAAAACATAAATCACAACAAATTCTTTGTTTTTTCCTCATTCAGTGGAAAAATCGAAAACGATACTTTGCAACTTCTTAGTTGAGCTTAGGGCTGCACGATTAATCGTTAGAAAATCGCGATCTCGATTCATACTTATGTGCGATCTCATTTCCAAATGACAACGATTTAAAAAAAAAAAAAGACGACGACGATTGTACCGCATTTTGATCCGGGACGTAATCTGCATGAAAACAAGCGCTCACTCTTCCTGCTCAACAAATGACAAGGGCGGAGCCTTATACCACGTGATACAGAAGCTGTGCCGTGTGATGCTAAAATTAGCAGGGAAAAAACAACGGAGAGCACGTCAGGGATGACGAGAAAGTGACAGGAGAAAATCCGTCCCGGTCAACCACCCAAACATCAATAACGGGAACCTTATACAGCGCTTCCCTATACCCGTCGAACTCCCGCAGGCACAAAGAAATTACGGAGGCTATCACTTATCACCTGACCAAAGATATGGCTCCCATCAACACTGTGCAAAACGAGGGATTTAGGAAAATGATCAACACCCTAGACAAACGCTACACAGTGCCGTCCCGCAACTATTTTTCTATTGTTGCACTACCTGCTCTATACACGCAGCGTCGAGCAACGGTGGAGACGGAATTTCAAGCAGTACAACATTTTGCGGCAACAACAAAACGTGAGACATTTGTTGTTTTTATGTTTATTTATTGTTTTTATGTTCAGTCTCAACTGTTACGAAGTTGATGTGCAGTTAATAAGTGCAATAAATATTTATACTGGAAAAGAAAATCGTGAGAGAATCGTGATCTCAATTCTAAGCCAAAAAATCGTGATTCTCATTTTATGCAAAATCGTGCAGCCCTAGTTGAGCTCATGAGTAACAGTTCAAGGTAAGGCCAAGAGGCCGTTGCTTTGCTTGCTCGACATAAGGTCGGCATTACCTCTCCTTCAGCTCTCTCCTTTTAAATCCCAGAAATGTTAACGACACAAACAGCTGTGCTCTTGAAAAAAAAATACGAGAACGTGATCTGAACTTGATGCCCTGCTTTGTTCCCGATGATTCACAATACAAAGTGCACTGAGGGGAGTTATTCTGTCCTTACTTGAACTACTTTTGTTCACTCTGTCAGTTTGTGTTGTGGTAAAGACACACCTCTCCAGATAAATGAATCATCGGCTGTCCTCTTTGCTTCTTTCCTTCCACTCCAGATGTCGGACACCAGGTAGCCAACGAGGCCCTTCACGAGGTCAGTGACTCTCTGCTCGTTCACACGTACTCTGACTCTATCTTTTAAAACACTTCAAACACAAAGTTAATAATGAGATAAGATCACTCATTATGTTGAGGGGGATATCATTGTCGAGTAAAGAGGAAGACATGAGCACTTTATGTACTTAGTCAGCATTTTAGCGGTTGTAAAGCAAACAGAAGAAATGTTGGGGTCATGGTGTATTTACAGAAAAATGAAGCAAATGTGGCATTTTGTGAATCACATCTATATTGGTGCTAATGTAATTTTTCCATCATGGTCTCTTTATTAGTATTTATGAGGAAGCTGTAATAGCATGAAATGAAAGAGAATTAGTCATTAGTTGAAAGTTTTCTTAATATGTGTGTGTTTTCTGGCTTTTGTCACCCAGCAAACTTCTTGGGTTGTTTGCCCTCATCTTGCTCTGTGTGTTAAGTGCCTATTGTTGCGTGACTAAAGCGGGCTTAATCCTCTTTGGTGCTGTGTTTTTTTTGATCCAAACTCTTGCCTTGTACTAACTGTGTAATTCGTTTTTATTAAGTTCTGCGTGTGTTTAAGAGGTTTCCTTTGTAAGTCTTTCAGCACACTCTGAAGGGTTATAGCCAAGGTGACTTGACTTGGAATCACAGATTCCTGAGGGAATACCAGTGTTTTGAATTTAATGAGGATTCAGCATTAATGTCATTATGTTAAGATGTGAGGAAAGATGATGCATTCTTTTAGAGGAGGGGATTAAAGCTGTGCTGCGTCTTGCGCTTCTGTTTCAAAATGTATTTTATTGCAAATTTATTGCAAACCATTTCAGAGCCTTTGATATTGTAGAAGCACCACTGATGAGATTACGTCTACCTCCTCATTTTTTATACTGTATCACTGTATTTCCCCGGTGGCTAGGTATAAAATCAATTACCCACCCACACACAGCCCAGCTAGATAAATGACCACCTCTTTGCTGTCAGTCTGCGTGGCCAAGTGTTTTCACCGTTGAGCTTATCTCCTTCTGTCTCGCTGTCTCCGGTTATAAACAGAAGGATGCAGAAGGAAAGGACAGAACTGTGTTTGACATACCGATCTTCACAGAGGAGTTTCTAAACCACAGCAAAGGTAAAAGAGCTCCATCCCAACCTGCTGTCTTCTTAAAAATGATTATTTGTTTTTAAACTTTGTGTCCATTTGTCTAGTTTCTAAACACATTCTTCTGCTACTTTAAGGACCACCACACTTTATGGCCACTGTCCTAAAATAGCTCCGCTTGCAACTCACTGATGTCCTAAACTCTCAGAGCAAATGAAAAATTGATGTGTAGATGTGTCATCTGCCCCAGAGCTCCCCCTGTGATCTACCACTGTTCTCTTTCTTCTGCATACGTTTGCCTGAACAGCACGTGAAGCTGAGCTGCGGCAGCTGCGTAAGACAAACATGGAGTATGAGGAGCGTAACGCAGCCCTGCAGAAGCACGTGGAGAGCATGCGCGGCGCTGTAGAGAGGCTGGAAGGGGACGTCATGCAGGAGAGGGGACGCAACGGGCTCCTTCACCAACACCTGGAGACCCTGCGCCAGGCTCTCAGCTCTAGCTTCTCCACTATACCCCTGCCAGGTGAGAGCACCCAGCACTATTCTGTGGATCCGGCATTCACAAAGGTGTCAAACAAAGATCGCGTTAATAAAGCTCTTTTTCCATTAGTACCTACTTGGGCCGAGTCGCCACGGATTGACTTGGATCGGCTGGTTTTCCCTCACAACCCAGTAGTACCTTGTTTGCATGCTTGTTGTCATAGCAGCGTAATTAAAATGTGACACGGACGCTACAACAAAGGTGGATGTAGTGGAGATATCAAAGATAGGCACGGCTGTGGCACTGATTCAGTCTTTGAGCACTACGGTCACCCCGGTGTGTCGGCCAGAACACCACTTAAGGCCAAATTGTCCCAGAGTACGAAAGAAGGAGGGAGCTTGAGGTTCCGTTTGAGGCACTTTATTGTCACCACTTAATTTCTGGGGCTGTAAACACAGCGGGTGTACATAAGTGTGTGTCTGGGTGTGTGTGTGTGTGTGTGTGTGTGTTGGTGTGTGTGTGTGTGTATGTGTCGTGTGTGTGTGTGTGTGTCTGTGTGTGTGTGTGTACTTGTGTGTCTGTGTGTGTGTGTGTGGTTTCCTACAAAGGAAATAAACAAGGGAAATAACAATCAATAAAGAGAATAGACAAGTCAAATACTCAAATATAAACATAATACAACATAGTTAACATAATCAAATATAAAGATCAGAAAAATATAATACACTTCAAACTGCTCACACTATGCAACTAAATAGCATTAGTGCGAGGTTAAGCAACCGTCAGTACACAGGAACTACTTCCGGTAGTTATACAAAATAAAAGCGTCCCCCATTATAATCCGCTATAATGCTCTTATTGTGAAGGGCAAGCGGGACGCCATACTTCCGGTCGAACTACGTTCGCTATTTTATTAATCCACATCAATCAAATCACTTTTTATTGTCACATCACATGTGCAGGTACATTGGTACAGCACATGCGAGTGAAATTCTTGTGTGCGAGCTTCACAAGCAACAGAGTTGTGCAAAATACAATAACATAAACAGGCAAAATATACGAATGGCTAAATCTGAAACTAATAAATATATGTACAATATATAATAGTATATGCAAAAAAAAAAAATTTCTGGATGTGTATACTAAATGTTTTTCTACGTGTGTGTGTGTGTGTGTGTGTGTGTGTGTGTGTGTACACATATTTTACAAATTAAATAGAGTCAATAAATAAAATATATAAAAATATACAGAGTTGAGACATGTGCAAAACAGTGGCATTACTGTACAGTATGGAGTGCATAATGTTGAAGTTCCAGTAGTGGAGGTGAGGTGTCTATGACGTGTTCAGCAGTCTGATGGCCTGATGGAAGAAGCTGTCTCTCAGTCTGCTGGTACGGGACCGGATGCTGCAGAACCTCCTTCCTGATGGAAGTAGTCTGAACAGTTTATGGCTGGGGTGACTGGAGTCCTTGATGATCCTCCCCGCTTTCCTCAGGCACCGCTTCCTGTAGATGTCTTGGAGGGAGGGAAGCTCACCTCCAATTATCCGTTCAGAGCACCGCACTACTCGCTGGAGAGCTTTGCAGTTGTAGGCGGTGCTGTTGCCATACCAGGTGGTGATGCATCCAGTGAGGATGCTCTCAATGGCACAGTGATAGAAGGTCCTGAGGATGCGGGGGCTCATGCCGAATCTTTTCAGTCTCCTGAGAAAGAAGAGGCGCTGCTGCGCCTTCTTCACTGTTTTGTTTGTGTGTACTGACCACGTAAGATCCTCAGCCAGATGTACACCAAGGAACCGGAAGCTGCTCACTCTCTCCACAGCAGCGCCGTTGATGGTGATGGGGGTGTGTACTTCTCTGCACCTCCGGAAGTCCACTATCAACTCCTTTGTCTTTGCGACGTTGAGGGTGAGATGGTTGTCTTGACACCAGTGGGTCAGGGCGCTGACCTCCTCCCTGTAAGCCGTCTCATCACCGTTGGTGATAAGACCCACCACTGTAGTGTCGTCCGCAAACTTCACAATGATGTTGGAGTTGTTAGTGGCTGTGCAGTCGTAGGTGTAGAGTGAGTACAGGAGAGGGCTCAGTACACACCCCTGTGGAGCACCAGTGTTCAGTGTGATGGGGGATGAGGTGATGCTGCCCAGTCTGACCACTTGGCGTCTGTCAGACAGGAAGCTAAGGATCCAGCTGCAGAGGGAGCTGCTCAGTCCTAGATCCTGCAGTTTCCTGTCCAGCTTCGAGGGAACGATGGTATTGAATGCTGAGCTGTAATCTACAAACAGCATTCTCACATACGTGTCTCTCTTCTCCAGGTGTGACAGGGCAGTGTGACATACCTAATTGTTCGCTACAAACTCCGCTACTTCAAAGTAAACAATCACAAGCATCACATACAACATACAGAGAAGGTCTGATAACACAGGACTGACATTATGGACATACGAGCGACCGTACATGCGTCAACAAAGCTAAACCGGGGTAAGCTAACAACATAAGTTAGCATATGAAATGAGGGTGAACTCACGCGTTGCATGCGTGGCCTACCGCTCCAACTATGGACTACATTAGCTCCTAAATGGTAACATACTACAGTACTGACACAAACAAAGGCAAAATATAACACAGGTCACTACTTACTTGTCATTTACGCACACCTAACATGCCCCAGGAATCAGTGCACCCCCTCCGGACCAACACTGCCCATCTGCCATTAAACTGCCCACCTTACTAACCGGATGATGTCACTAGAAGGTGGGCTGGCCCAAACAGACAGAAGACTGAATATTAAATGAACTTATAAACACCAGTAAAACTATTCTATGAACTTTAGGGCCTTTTATACAGGGACGTCGAACCAAATATATACCTAGTATTTAGTACCTGTTTGCATTGTTTGGAACCCCGGCCGAGCAGGTGATAAAAAAAGTAGCTGGTACCTAATGGAAAACCCTGCAAAAAAACAAGATAGAAATCCACTGCTTTTATTTCTTAAATTGTGCAATTGCACTTTTGGGCTCAGTGTGATGCCGATGAATGCACATCATAAACTGGTATCGACTTAAGATCCACTAACAGTATTTCATCCCTCGACACACACAAACCAGTGTAGTAAGATATTAGTTCTACAGTCACGGTTGAAGATGGTGAGCCATACATACACATAGACAAAGTATTTATTTATTCCTTGAGCTCCAGAATCTTCTATTAATCCACACATTTAAACACGGCTAACTCAATTTTTTTTTTTGTAGACCATATTGTAATGAGCCTGGGAATCAGGGAATTCTTTATTTTAATGTAATTTATTGTTGAAATGGAATTTGCTCCCACTGTCTTTACTCTTGTTTCATCTACATTTAATGTCTATGCTGAGTTCACAGCTGTGATGTTTTCCTGGTTTTCTCCCACACCTGTTTGAATGTCTTTCTCACAGCAGAGACACTGAGTCTGCAAACAGCAGAAATAGTCAGAACACTCCTGGAATTATTTCCTAAGAGCTTTGCACTGAAAGTTGATTGCAAAACGCTCTCAAGTCTAGTGTCTGAGAAGCTCAACAAAGACTGTAAGGTTTCTTGAACGAGAACTTGCTCAATTCATGTTTGTAGATTTTACTATTGTTTGTTGCACCTCTGCTAGTCGCAGTAGTTGGGACAGAGCCAAATTTATGGTTTAGTATGAGGGTCGCTTTGGGGAATTGTAGGTTAGCATGTGTCTGGAAATGCAGGAATCCGTTCAGAAGCATTTTTGACATTGATAAAGTCAACAGTGTCCAGCATGACCGTGTTGTATGAGTCGTCCTACTACGATGTGATTAATCTTGCTTGTGTTATCTATTCTTGCTTGAGAGACATATTTGGTCATGTCTGTGCTTTTCTGTGAACATATTTGACCTGAAAAACACACTCTTGTGGGCCTACAGGCAGTGGCGAGACACCCACTCTTGAAACCATTGATTCCTACATGAAGAAGCTCCATAGCATCATAGTCAGTAACCCTCAAGAACACGAGAATCTCATCAACACTGTGAGAGAGGTGGTCAACCGCTTGGACAGGTAAGAGATACCTCCATCCTCCACTCCAATTTAGATTTTTTCTACATACTTGATGTAATTTTCACTTTACTCTCCTAGTTCATGTACAGGCCACTCTTATGCTTCTGCTTCACCACAGTTGAATGTTTTTCCTGTTTCATCTGTGAAGAATTTTAATCATGTGTTTTACTGCTGTTTGACTCAGATAATTGGATTCAAGTTCAGCTGATGCAATGGACTGACTCACAGGACATTAAACAGACGCTCCTTCCTGGTTTATGCCCTTCCTCTTTACGTCCAATCTTCTTGTTGATCTCTCATTTCAGCCGAGTTTAAAACAACTTTTGTTACTCTGCTAAAGTGATACAAGCGAGGGTAATGTAGCGTCACATATTTATTTATAATTTTTTACTTCTGTTTTTTTTGTAAACCTGTTCACACACTATTAACATAGCCATAGTTTGTTTTATAAAGTAATCAGAGAATATTTACAACACTTTTCTGTTGTTATTGCTCCTGTTCGGTCTTCACTGTCTGTTTATAGCAACCTCCAGAACAATATCTAAGTCATTATCAGATGTGTTGTCAGTGGATTTGTATTTACATGCCCAGGACATACTGTTGAAGAGACTGTCTTTCTTTCATGCTCTGTTGAGGTGAAAAATGTGCCATTCTTGTTTTCTTTTTTTCTGTGTGAAAAGTGTTTGTGTTTTCAATAAATGCATTTACATCACGTAAGCCTTCAGTTTGTTTGGAGAGGTTCGTGATATGATGGGGAATACCATATGTTTGCTCTGAAATCAGAGCTAAATACACAAGACACCATTGCCCTAGATTTCCAACTTCAAGCTTTTTAAGTATCTTTTAGCATTAGTGTAGTTTATTCTGTGGATTTAGAAAATATTCAGACCACTTACTTTTTGTACACATTGTTTAGAAATGGGGCAATCTGTATTTAGTAAACCAACATGAAGCGTGAAAATGCATGTTTAGAAATATTTAAGATAAGAAAGAACTTTGTTAATCCTAATGCAAACACAAGTGTCACTGAAATCTTTCTCCTGTTTTCCAATAATATCATGAAAGTATTATCATTATAATAATATTAAGAGGCTATAGCTGCTTAAATTTTAATGCAAGTCTCTAAAAGCTCTGCATACATTATTTTGTTTACAATATTAGGTCTTGCAGATCAGAATGAATGTAGAAAGTCTATAAACTGAATTTCTGTCTTCAGGTGTCCCACAGTCGTTTTGTGGTGTTTAAACACTATCCTTTACCCACTGTGGCATTGTCTTGGTATATCGAGTCATTGTTGTCTTCCCTTTGCCCTCTAGGTTCAAGAGCAGTTCATCTTCTTTCAAGGGCGTTTGCATTTTTGGCTGCATTCATTCTTCAGAAAGTTACAACAGGGAAATGCCACAATAGTGTGATGCTGCCACCACCATGCTTTACTGCTGGGGACTTCATTATCCAGATAAAGAGCACTGCCTGGATGTAGCTAGACTCTGCTTGGAGTTCAGTTCGGTAGAGTTTTTGTCTCAGACCTGATAATTACTGAGGCCAGAGTGCTTCTGGGAATACTCTGTGCCTTATTTAATTATATCCAACCCATTAATTCGCTACAGTTGCACACTAATCAAGTTGTAGACACATCTGTGGGATAATTAGGTAAGCAGGATGCCTCTGATCACACTTGGAGTGCTCCAGTGAATATGTCTCTCAGTTTTTGATTTTAGATTTTAAAATAACAAATGCAGTATTTAGAAAAAGAACTTATTTTTGTCCTTAAATTATGATTAGTGGGCAAGTGGAAAACAGACAACAAGTCAGAGTTCTGAATAATTTTTTTGTTTACCTGCTGCATAACGCCGACTCTGTCAGATGTGAAGACACTCATTCTTTAGACAACTGTAGATGGTAAAGCAGCTGGTTTTATTACTCTGGATCTTTGACTTTGGCATTGTCTAAAAGCCTAGATTTTAGTAGGTGTACTTTACACATAAAACCAAGAAGCTAATCTGCTATAATCTACTTGGCTGGCACCTAAGCCTATTTACTTGCAGCTGATATGTGAAGTCAAAAAGATTTGGATTGTTGAAGCGAACTGAGCAGATCTGTTGTAATTTGCAGAGAGAGAGATACAATTACATTGCAATCTGCAGCACATTCACGGGCAATGGCTCACATCTGTATCGTGTTTGTGAATTTACCCTCTCATAATCATATTAAGCCGCAGGAGAAGGCTGTGCCATAAATCCTTTTTAGTAAAACACTTCTATATTGCGATTTTTTTATAGAAATTGAACGCAAGTGTTTCTGTTCTCTGATGATAGGCTGGCCTGGATAAGAAGTCTAAAGTTGCTAAGTTAGTGCTATATTAGCTTTTGACTTTACATTGTGAGCCCTTCCTGTTTCCTTTCACTGATGCCCGTTTCCTTTTGTGCCAATTGACACTTCCTCTTCATAATGTGTCATAGCAGCACAGCCAACATTTTTCCGAACAGATGTCCTGTTCCCAGAGACAATATGTCATTTCATACAGTGAACTAGTGAGCTGCTGACCACTGCATTGCAAAAGTCCAGCTCCCGGCTCCTGTACACTATACAGCACTGGTGAAGAGACCTCTGGAAACAGGTCATTGTGAAAGTCTGACATTTTACAGCCCAGAAGCCGATCAAACGCCAGCTTTTGGGGGTAATATTTACTGTTAAAGACCTTATGTTGTTTATGCACATAAGCAATCTGTACATTAACCTGACTATGACTAATGTGATGTTAGAATAAGCGTGTTCACAGTGACCGTGTTAAGGTACTGATGCTTAGCAGATTCTGTTTCCAGATAACATTTGCAAACTGGAATATAACCTGATCCCAGCTGATTGCAGGTTTCTACAAGTGCTAGAGGAGAATTCAGGATCGCGCAAGATAAAACAATGTTTACAAAATTTGAATCCTGAGATTTCCCAGTTGTCAAGTGAAAAGCTTGAGCTGCTGGTGGTGATAGATAAATAGACTCATGGTACCCCAAAGTTACCGTCTACCTATCCATCCATTTAACAGCAGGGTCTTCCTTTATGAGTTCTCCAGTATAGCTTTGGTCTTCTCTTCAGTCCTCTCCTTGCTGAAAACCCCCCAAAGAGATAACTCGGGAAACATCCACATTCCCACCTCACTTGGCTTCAGCTTCAGCCCTGTTGACCCACGTGTACATTCACGCCTGTTAGCGTCAACAAACATGATCAACTGATTCGCAATGCCAAATACTACGGGTGAGAAACTTTATCTTACAGAGCACTGTTAACATTGAGATCTCATATGTTATTAGAGTTGCTTGACTTTTTAGCTTCGAGGATCACCTTTCACCTTTCATGTACATGGCATCAGTGTGTGCAGTAGGTCATAAGCTCATTTGTATAATGGGCTTAACTACAGCTTTTTTTCTCTCTTTGATATTAGGCCAAAGCTGTAAAAACAACAAGGAAAAGGAATACACTGCAGACGGTAGCGGCTCCTGTGATGCCTTGTTATCACGTTTTCCCTTGAGGTTCACATGTTGCCCTCTTACTTCCAAGCAGCCAGTCTGCCTTGTGTGATAACCTCTGTTTTAGGACATGACAGAATTGTTGGGACAGATAAGCAGCACTTCGGTCCCTCGTGACGTCTCTTTTTGCCCTCTTCTTGCCACGCCGTCATCACACCCAGTCTTTTGTCTTAACAGAGAAACACCCGGTGGAATACAAAACAATTAAATAAAAAAAAGTCTTCTTCCTCAGCGGGGCAGTGCCTGCATCGCTGGCCGGTATCCAGTCCGTAGAATGGTTGACATTAGGAGAGAGGAGCAGAGAGCCACTGATCCTGGACCAAAAGGAGGAGGGAGTGACTCACAGGAGAGAGGATGAGTCAGGCGTCATGTGCTGAACTGGCACTTGACGCTCTCAGTGTCCTGAATGGCTTCTGTTCCCATAATAACATGCACTATTATGGTCAGATTGAGCCTACCTTTTGTCAGTCAGTCAGGCTTGAGCTAAGCTGGTGTTGGCTTAATTACACGAGCTGGTATGCATTTATGGAAATGCTTGTATGCACTGCCTTACTTCTAATACTACTCATTATCTTTAAACGGGCTCAGATGATCAAACCGGTTCATTGGCATCACTTTTATGTTCGGCTGCTGATTTCCCAGATTGGAGATTAAGATCTTTTATTATGGTCAGCTGCAGAGCAGCTTTTTGCAGCTGTGGTCTCGGTCGTCTTGTGCCAAAAAAAGTTGAACCGACGCATTCTGTAAGGTCTGTTTCTGATCTGCTGATGCAGATTCTCATTATGTCTGGAAGTAGGAGGTTTACAGTAACAGGGGATGGATAACACCTCAAATTTCAAAGGAAAAGGTTTTTCTGGAGGGTTTACTTGAATAACACATTATAACGAGCAAACGTATGAGACAGAAATGTAGCAAGATAAATGGTGTCTGAGGTTCACAGCGATGATGGATGTTCTCCTGTGTGGTCTGTCAGCTTCTCTTAGTTTCATAATAGGGAAAAAAGTTGCATGTCATTTTTCTGCTGCTTTATTATCAGGGACAGTGCACTTACTTTCAATGAGTCAGTCCAAACTTCACCGCTTTTCTTTTGCCGGCCGACCCTGACTCACATCTCCCTGTCTCTGCCTCACTCTCTCATTGAACCCGGCTCCCACTCTGATGAAATGTTCTTTGCTTACAACATAAAAAGCTGTCCAAAAAATACAGAAGTGTCTCTTTTTTTCTTCTTCTTGCATTTAGACACTTTTGAACCGCATGTGACTGCGATACCAAAATATTTTTTGTAATTTTACAGGCTCATATTCTTCAAATTACTCAGACAAGCATGGCACTCATAGAGAAGGTCTGGGGCAACAAAGGATGAAACAATGCCGCTTCATTGTATTTATTTAATTGGAGAAGGACAAAGTGACTCTGCACGTGCAAAAAGAAGAAAATCAGAGTCATCCTTCCGCTTCCTTTTATCCATCATTCATTCATA